TCTTCATTAAGCACCACATGTTCACTTTTATTTTTATTTTTTTAGACAAAGCTTAGATCACAGTTCCTCTTTTCTTTTGAACCCTGGTCCCTCTGTGTCCCCTTCGTGCTCTTCTGTGCACACAGGAGGTCCAGCAGGCCCGGGTGGCGTCTCAGGAGAGCCGCAGACAGAGATGGACCCGCTCAGAGCTGCTGACGATGGAGACACGATGGTCCTCGTCTTCTGCTGGGTCTTCTCGTTATCCACGTCCTTTAAACGATGATGCAAAGTACATTTGCTTGGCTTGAGCTCGACCCGAGGCCCGGTGCTGTCACTCCTGACCGTCTGTTTGTTGCCTCTGTGTGAATGGGAGCATCGCTGGAGAGGCGAGGCGGTTCTCCTTCCTTCACCGCTTGCTGAAACGTACTCAGAAACAGCAGCGGATGCCACATTTGTACCCTCTGACCCAGATTTACACCTTCTCTGTTCACGCCTTTGGCCCGGTTTGGTGGTTTTGTGGTGGAAGTCAGCGCTTGTGTTGCTCTGGCTGCAGGCCGGCACACGACCAGGAGGTAAAACGCCGTCATGCAGCAGCACAAAGTCTCTCTGACCGGCCAGGGGAAGGATCCTCTGCCTGAGACGACGCTTGTTGAAAACCTCCAGAGTTATATCTAGAGAGGAGCAGATGTAAAACTGTTGGGCGGTGTCACACGTCAGCCTGTTATAATTCACACATTTGCTAAAGGGAACTACTGCTGTAGCCTACGAACAGGGAAATAAAGTGAGAACATCTGACACCAGAGCGTTAAAACAACAGACATGAGAGCTGAACATGAGTGCCTGGTCTGTGATGATGATGATGAGGATGAGGATGAGGATGATGATGATGGTGTGCTCTAAGCTCACCCAGTGTCTCCACCACCGTGCTGGGTATCACCTCCTTCAGCACCTCACAGTTGGTATGAAGAGCTGGGTTACAGTTCATCTCCAGCAGCCACACCTGTTATCATCACACAACCGTGGAGGAGTGAGAGCGCCAAATGACAAAAATAAATCAATAAAAGAATAATAAAATAAAATTGGAAATAAAAAGGC